AGTTTGCTTGCAATTTGTATGACAACCCTACCTAATTAACAATTAACTATACAAAAGAGCTATAACCAACTTTCCTGTGAAAGCAGATAACAAAGGTACTTGACCTAAACTTGATAGAGAAGCCTCCCAACAGCTTATAGATGAAGAGTCTAAAAGAAGATTCAAGAAGGTTCAATGGGTCCAGGCCAAAATGACATTTTTAAGGGTAAATAAGAGAGGATACTTTTCATTGTATTACATTGTTTTCTGTGCTAATAAGAGAACTAATATGACATGTAAATCAAATTAAGCAGTGGTTGACAACAAAATTTAATATCAAGTTTTCTTACTCAGAACCCTGTTATGTGGCATGCAAGGGCCCTGCCTAACTAAGACTTTTCCAAACCAAAAAATAAATTTAAAAATAAATAAATAAGAGTAAATATAGAGCAGAGCTCTCTTCCTCCATGCCCCTCTGTTACTTTGGGCAACTGAGAGGCAGGCCTCTGTTTCCAAGCTGAAGGAACACCTCAGATGTCTTTTCGTGTCCACATTTGGGAGTCACCCTAAGGCTGCTGGAGGACACTGACCACCCCTCCAGCGACATCAACAAGGTGTATGGTGACAGGCAGGTGCTTCATAGAGGCTGCATCAGGCCAATAAGTGAGTATAGTGCCAGAACCAGAAGACTCATGAAATTAGTGCCAGATTGAATTATGATTTTTTTTAATTGCAAAGAAATTATTTTTGAATTTTGAATCATTTATTATTTAATGAATGCCTCCTAGTCACCAGGGACTGTTTTAAGCACTTTATATGTACTCATTAATTTAGGCCTACCACATGTAGAAAAAAAATACACGATTCATAACCCCATTTTAACGTAAATGAGGAAATAGAAGAGCACTAAAGTAAGTTGCCCAGAGCCACAGAGCTAAATAAGTGGCAGGGCTGGGATTCAAGCTCAGCCTGTCTGGCTCTAGAATTCATGTCTTAATCACTGCATTTTCTATACTCTCTATACTAACAACAACAACAGTAACCACTAACATTATTAAAAATTGGTTAACGAGGAAGTGTAATTATCATCTCCATTTTACAGATGAAGAAAGTGAAGCCCAGAGACGTTAAGGAACTGACCTTACATCACTCAGATCCTAACTGGGGGAGCCTGAATTTAATCCTGGGGGTTAACTCCAGATTTCAGCGAATTCACCACCATCACCACCACGTTAGGGTGACTTCAAATCCAGCTACTTGCTTTTGTACTAGGAAACAGTCCAGCCTTGTTCATAATCTTGCTGTATTTATTGCTTCCCATCCTCCTTAAAGCCATCTATAGGATTTACTCTCTGAATAAGGGATAGTATTGCCCTATTTTTCATCTTAACTAAAAACAGGGGAAGTAAAACTTTATTTTTACTGCTTCTAACTCTTCTTTTCATATGCTTTTCAAAAAAAAATAATGACGACAGATAGCTAATTTGTTGAGCGTTCACCATGTGCCAGATGCTGTGCTATGTGTTTTACTTCTATTATTCTAGTTAATCATACAGGAAAGCCTGTGAATAAATTTAATTATCATCCCAAGACAGATGCGGAAACTGAGGCTCAGAAATGTGAAAACCTTTCCCAAAGTCACACTAGCATTCCAGCTGAGGGTCGTTGGATTCCAAAAACCCATATTCCTGAACTTTTTACACTGAACTGCCTCCCCCTCTTAAATACATCTGACTATATGTGACAGGTAATCACAGGAAAGGAACACATGGGAGCAACCACCTGGTTCCAAGGTCAGAAGTTTCCATAAAGGAGCTTCCTTTGCTTGGATATCAGAGGGCTGTTTGCAGCCCAGACCTGTGATGGTTGGCAAACAGTCTCGGGCCATCCTGACAAGGTGGCTGATAATTTTGTTGTCATCCTAATCCAGGGTCACCCAGCTTTGCAGTTCAGAAACTGTTGATCACTTCATCCAGTGTGATCAGGCCCTGTGGAAATGACTGATGGCAACCTGCCCACAGTGGACTGATTGGAACTTTAAAATATATGCATATTAATTTATAGGGAAAATAACCCCTGAAAGGAAAGACCAGGGTCTGAGACCCACCAATCAGTCCCCCTCAAACACTAAGTCAGGAAGTTGGCAGTTGCTGCTGCTTCTGGGGTACTCTCAGGAGATGCTAAAGACATTTACCCAATCAGTAAATTATGGGTGCCAGAGTTAGGCATACCCTCTGTCACCATTTTGTTGCTATGCATCCTTAGGAAAGACACTTGACCTTTACGAACCTGAGTCTTCTCGTTCATAAAAATATCTACAACAACCCCTATCTCTATCTCAAGGTGTTAATGAAAACACTAGGAATATCTGTAAGGTGGGTGGCACTTTACAAATCTCACATGGGCATAACTGTCCCCTATATCAAGATATAGGCATGAGCCTGCCACCCAGACTGAAATATCCATGTTACTTATCCAAGTACCCTTTGCCCGAAATATTGTTGGAGAAAAGCTGATAATTCATTGTCATTTTACTTTCCTAATATCACAACAAAATACAATTCCTGGTTTTGCAAATTCTTTTTTGTTGGTTTCCTGTAGAACAACTGCTGTCTGATGACGTGTTCGTTTCCTAGGAGATCTTCTCCAGGTCATGCTACTTCCATGGAACTTTAATATGGGGAAGCTACTCTCTTCTGTGGAATGGGGGTTCTTATTTTAGCATGTACTCCAGAAAATAACACTTGCAGACTCAGCTCCAGAGTGCTTATTCATATTATTTTGGGTTCCTGTGGCTCTTTACCCTATGACTATGGCACTATTTCCTCTTCTCCACTGGCATTAAATGATGGCAGGAAACCTTAATAACAAAAATCTGTCTCTGAAAAACAAATTGATGGTTGACAGATGGGAAGGGGGTTGGGGGAAAAGGGTTAACATGTACAAATTGCCAGTTGTAAAAACAGTCATGGGGATGTAAAGTACAGCATAGGGAATATGTAGGCAATAATATTGTAATAACTATGGTGTCAGATGAGTGCTAGACTTATTGGGGGGATCATGTTCTAAGTTATATAAATGTTTAAACACTATGCTATACAACTGAAACTAATATAATACTGTACGTCAAATGTAATCAAATTTTTTTTTAAAAAATGGTGAAATGAGCATAAAAACCAACATAATCAGGAAAAAAAAAACCTGTCTCTATAATGCGTTTAGAGGCAAGTCCCAAAGGTGAATAAAGGATTAAAAAAATCTAATGTATAAAGAAAACTGAAAGATACCAACATGCTTTATCTCTCAAAGGCAAGAAACCAGACAGTCCTCACGAAAGAATACAACAAGAAAAAATGAAACGGTGCTGCAGTGTAAGAGATTAAGAAAAATGTCTGCAATCTTGTTAAATGTCAATATGAGTTCAGTCTGTACGTTGATGACCTTCCTCTTTTGGAGACTTAAAAGATGTGGTTTATGTAGTTGCCTCTATTGGGGACAGTCTAATTCAGTCCTAGGTGTATCCTTGCCCAAGGGCTGACAGATGGAGCAAATGAGCTCTCAGCATCCCTTCAGCCCCACACTCCGGCTTTTCTCTGGTTGTTGGGCTAGCACATTAGCTGAGTCAGATTTGCCCTTGCAAATTAGTGGAGGAGTCAACTGCTTGAAAGAGAACAGGTAGATTCTTTGTCCCCAAAATAAATGGCTCTCTACCCAGTTCCAGGTTAAATTATACCAGTCGAGGTGTATTTTTCCTTGAGTCACAAAGTATTTTTAGTCTTCTAGAGTTCCTAACAGAATGCAGACACTGGCACCTAAGTAACGATGAAGTAATTCAACCTGATCCGATAAGGACATAGCAAGGATCAAGATCCTGCAACAAACCAAGACCGGAAATGCAGGAAGAGGGAGTCCCCAAGCAGAGAGTAGACAGACAGGGCTGTACAGACATGCTGTGCCTTATTGCAAATGGAGTTCTAGGTTCATGCAGGTCGGGCTGTCCTCCCTCCCAGCTGAGTTCACTCATTCTTTCCATAAGTGTGGCGCTCCTACCAGGGGCAGAGCACTAGACAAGGCACAGAGGACACTATAGTACGCCAAACAGACATGGCTTCCACTTGCCCCCAAACACTGACCACATGGTGACTGTGCAGTGACTTACTACCTGGGGCCTACACTCATGCAACAATTAACGACTGAGTTGCTACTATGCATAAGGCACCCTTCTAGGCACTTGGAATGGGGTGGTGACCAGACTGCACAAATCCTTTGGCCTCGTGGAGCTTACCGTATTTTACCGTGTATAATGCACACTTTTTTGCCCAAATTTGTGAGAGAAAAATAAGGATGTGCATTATATAAGGGTAGTACTAATTTCATTTCCCTGAAAGTTTGGGCCAAACATGTAGGTGCACATTATACACAGGAGCACATTATACACAGGCGCACATTATACATGGCAAAATACAGTACATTCTGGTAACAGGAAGTTATAAAATGAAAGGCACATGAGGTGACCTACCCTAGCTGATGAGTCCTCCCTGAGGCTGTTTCTGTCGACATGTGAAGATTGAGTAAGAATTACTGAAAGGCATGGGTTAGAGGAGGAGGCGGCACCTGGAGAGTGTTCCATCTAAAGATACCAAACGTTGTCAAGCTGCCACAATTTGCTTGTATAGTAGGATGAAGGGTAACTTATATCTTTCTTTTTATTATTATTCAAATGTGTAGGCAATAAATAGTTTTAAACAATATCATCGGCATACTTAGAACTATGTTATTTTTACTTTGTGGCTTTAATGTATTCGTCTTTAAGCTATTACTAATAAAGAATGATCATATACCATTTGCAGACCAAATTCAAAATCACATGGGAGCTTTGCCCTAATGATGCAAGCATTGAGTCTAATTCCAAAATGTGTTTGGTGTTGCTGAATGCAAACAAGATAAGTGTTTGACATTGTGACATGCATCTTTCCCCACCTACGTTGAATATGAATTATAGGTTGGTTCCTGCACTACAGGTGGACCTGTGGCAGCCCAGCAGTGTCTCCTATGTCTCAGAGGGAACAGTTACTGATGTCCACATTCCCCAAAATGGTTCCCGAGCCCTGTTAGCCTTCTTACAGGAAGCCGCCATCCCACACAAGTAAGCATTTTTTTTTTCATTGCTTAAATCATTTGTACTAAATTGAATTGAATGGTAGCTGTATTCAGGTTATTTATTGGTTGCCATTGACAATGTTTCAGGTACTTTTTATCAAGTGGGGAAAACCAACATAAATATAACACAATTACATTGACCTTTGATGAGCATATTAGTGTAATGGGAGAGGGGAAAGGGCCCATATTGACATTTTACCTCAACAGCACCACTAAGTTGACAGTAAACGCACAAGGTTTTTTCTGTGCGAGGAAAGGAGAGCAGCCTAGGAATGCCTAGAAGGTGGATAGGAAAGCGGGGACAGAAAAGCTTTCTGCAGGAGCTGTGTGTTAGGCAGAGGATGAGACTCAGGACCTTGCAAACAGCAAGCTCAAACTTTATCCCGTGGGTGTCACTGCTCAACTGGAAGATGTAAGAAAGGAGCCATATGTCACTGGGTGGAGCGGCAACAGGAGACTGCAATCACAGTCCAGGTAAGAGCTAGGCCCTGAGTCACGACCAGAGTAGTGAGAACGTTCAATAGTTCAGAGGCAAAACCACCTGGACTCCATACTTGGCTGCATGTAGGTGGAACAGGAAGAAGTCAAGGATGACGACAAGTCTTCTAGCTTGGGTGACTGAGCAGAGGGATTCAAACAGATTTGCTTACTGACCAGTTTCCTTGGATTTGGCAATAGGAGCTGTGTTGGTGACTCTAATGATGGGAGTAGATTGTCAGGAGCAGAAGACAGAAAAGCGAACAGGAGAAGAGCAAAAACATGGAGCAGCAGAGCAGACGGCTGCTCTTAGAAGGTAGAATAAGGAGAGAAGCAGAGAAAGACGAATGACTACAGGAAGATGCAGCATCAATGACTGCTTGAGATTTGGGACTCGTTTGAGTTGGGGGCCATTTTGGCATGTCTGTAGGCTGTGGGGGAAGGACCAGTAAGGAAGGAGAGGCTGATGATGCAGGAAAGAACGCACAAGTGGAGGACTGGGTTTGCTCAATAGGAAGGGCACCTTATCCTCTAAAACTGAAGAGGTACATGTGGTTCTAGTTGAAAGGGATCATAACTGATGGCTACATTTTCTGGATGAAGTAAGAAGCAAGATTATCTTCTGAAAGTGAAGAAACAGGTAGGAACCAACAAAAGTAGTTTGCAGAGAAGAGAGATTGTAAACCTGATACAGAGTTGAGAGTTTATGGGACAGAAACACGGAAAGGTCAAGGTGGCAAGGAAGTTGTGGTTCCTAGCGAGGTGCTAGGTCAAGTGTTCTTCCATGGGGTCTAATGTGGATAGGAAGGGAGGAGAGTCTAGGAAGAATAATGGGACAAAATGGAAGAATCGAGAAGGGATGAAGATCTTTATATTGAAAACAGGTATAGCGTGACTGAAGGCAACAAGCTGGAAGGAGTGGAATTTTGACAAAGTGTAGGTTATTGGATGTTAAGAGTTCTGGGGTAGAACCCTTATGGCTGGTGACAAGATTCAGGAAGTAGCCATGGAAGAGACAGCGGAAGTGGAGATCACTGTGGTCAAGGTTGGGTGGCCTCAGTCACCAGAGAATCATCGCATCACAGCAGTCTTGAATCTCCTTGACTGATGGCAAGATGAGAAGTGGAGGGAGAGCATATTCCTGGAACAGGAATATCAGAGAGTATCCAGGAGTGAGAGGAAAGCAGCTAGGAATGGCATGATGCAGGAGAGAAGATGAGGTTTTTCTGGAAGTTAGAAGATTAAGGGGGAGGCAGGACTGGGGGTCCAGGAGAATGCTGACCTCCCTGCTTTCTGGTCCCATGGTAAATGGAGTAGAAAAAGAGAAACACACACACACACACACACACACACACACACACACACACACACACACAAATCTTTCCTTAAGAGAATCCGATTTCTGTTGGGGTAAGACTCTGAGAAGACAGAGTTCTCTGAAGAGACTGGAGGATGTAGGAAGCTTATTTACAATGAAAGAGAGATTCCATCAGGTAGGAGAGAAAAGGAAATGGAGAGATGCAGAGTCACCCAGGATCTGGGGGGACATGTGCAGTGTAGTGAATTAATGAGACTGAAGGGAGTGACTTATCTTTTGTTTGGAATCCTAGGTTTTGAGGGCTGAGAGGCATGATGTAAATGACTAACCTAACTACCACAACTGTTTAAGCAAGTTCTGGTACTGCCCAAACTGTCACAAAGATGTCTAATGACAGGCTCCTGGCTCTGTGGGTCAATGGTGAAGACCCTAGTCTCTGTGGAAGGCTGGGCCAAGGGGTGCAAAGTGCCAGTGACACCCCTCCCTGGTCCACACCAATACTTCCCTGCCAGAAAGATAGTTACAGCCTTACTAAAGTACTGATATGCTTTTTGCAGTAAGGTATTTTTATCTGTGCTTCTAGAACAGGGTAGAGTCACAGCTGTGCATAAAGCCGTTGTTCATATTGAACATATTTTAGTCGTTGCTGTAGCTTTGAAGGCATGCTTTGATTCTCTGAATGCCCGGCAGGAAAGAGCTTGGTAATTATATCTATAGGTTCTCGGTAACAGCTCACACGCTTTATTAATTATTATTCGGTAGAAAAGAATATACCAGTTATTTTAACAAGTCTCTATTTCCTGCCATTAAATATAGCTCATGTGGATCTGATAGAGAATAAAATACCACACTGTATGTCACCAAGAACAGGGTCTAAAAAACTGAGTGTTTTAAACCAGTTGTCTCCTCAGCCATTTGGAAATATTCATTTTGTTGGTCCCAAGATAATAACACATAAGTCAATTAAATTCCATGGGGCCAGTAGGTAGAGATTATTTTGATTGACTTTTATTATTGTAGTCTGGGGTACTTTCAAAAGATTATCATTTACTCTGTACAACTCTACATAATGTATAGCTATAGTCATCTTAAAAGCAGAGATAATGTGACCCTGTGTGTCTGGCCCCTAGGTGATATGACAGATGAGATGACTTATTCTGTCATAAAAAACTTCTATCATTTTGTAAATTAAGTACCAGTAAAAATTGGTAATGGAATTTCAAATTCTGAGCCTCCCTTCCACCCTGGAAGTTTTGAGGAGGTGGTTTTGTACTAAGTGATGACACCACTTGGGAAGTCCTTAATGGCTCTAGTCACTATTATAGGAGTGCATACACTTGGGATAGGAATAATCATCAGCCGTAAAGAACTAAGAAAATACAACAGTTACAAAAACCACTTTTTGGACACCATTTCATGACCTCATCAATCTTCCAGCTTCCAGTCAACTACTTGATAAGCAAAATGGGCTAGACCTGCCACATCACAATTATTTTAATTTTCAGGTTGGTCTCTTAGGGCCTGAATTCAGGTACAGTCTAAGTTATTAAACAGAGACCCTGTATTAGTTTGCAATGGCTGGCTGGCTTCAAAAAATAATTTGTCATCTCATGATTCTGAAGGCTAGAAGTCTGAAATCAAGATATTAGCAGGGTTTGTCCCTTCTGAGGACTGTGAGAAGAGAACCTTTCCCAGGCCTCTCTCCTTCATTGTACATGGCCACCTTCTTCCTTTCTCTCTTCATTTTATCTTCCCTCTATGTGTATCTCTCTTTGTGTCCTAATTCTCTCCCCCTTCTTACAATGGTCTCTACGAAGAGCTGCCCAACACATGGATGTATTGGCATCAGAACTTCAAAACTTTCTGATGACACATGTGTGGGATTGCCTTGGGTGAAAACAACTTATCTGCACTTGTTTCTATTTAGAAGGTCTGCCCACTTCCGAAATACTGCAAGAGCAATACACTACAGTGCCATTTTGTAAATATTTGGAAAACTTTTTATTTTTGTGTTGATGTATTTTATCTTTTTACACTGAAAATGCAGGAGGAAATGCTTGTGTAGATTGCTGGCTTGGACAAATCCATTTACATTTTTTTTTCTTTGTTTCCTGGGATAGGGAAAAGTCGCCAGGAGAAATGGATAGATGGTATTAGTGAGGGAAACTTTTTTGAAGTTTGCCTGCAGTAAAAGGACTGTTGACAGTTTATAACAAACCACCTCGCCTAATCAAACTTACATCTTTCTTGACCATCGCACATTCTCTCACAACACAGGAAGTTTGGACATTGATATAAAGGTTCATGTGGTTCTTAAGACCTGCACAGGAGATATTTTAAGGTTTTCTAGTCCATACAAGCCTACTTTCAACTGTAGCTTCTTTTCTCAAAAGATGAAAGGAAGCCCTAATACAGGTCATGTTTAGACGGACAGTCTAATGTTCCACTCACTTTCTGAGCCACGGCAAGTAGCTACAAGGCAAGTTTACTAACTTTGTGTCGCCCCCCCCATCTTGATATTTAATGTTTCTATTTTTAAAATCAAAACTTGAAAGAAGAAGAACAGTAAGCCAATGATAAATTCCTCATTACGTATTTGTCCACAATGGGTACAATACTCAGTAAATAACAAATGAAGGCATCAAAAAGAAAAGTCCTACCCCCAGCATGACCCTGAATAAAACTCCTTCCTTCACGGAACAAAAAGTGTTTATTCAGGTAATTCAAGATAATCTTTTTTATTAAGTGGCTTATATAGATCAACCTTGAAAGTCATTTAAAGATGCCATTGCATGGTTTAATAGCACTTAAACCATGAAGCAATAGGTTCTTTGAGAAGATAGAATATGAAAGCAAAGCATTTTAGCTACCTGCCAGGCCCAGAAAAATCGCTGCGGGGCTCTTTAACGTCTTGAAGCTTTCAAAATGAGTGAGTGCCTTGTTACTTCACAGCTCTCTAGTTAAAGGAGATGAGTGAATATTGGGGAGAGACAAGCCTTTACCTAGCCCAGACGTCTCACCAAGAACACTAAAGGCTCCAGCTGGTGCTGGTTCCACACACTGCAGCTACCCTGGAGTCCACCACCCTAGCCACAACCTTCAATTTCCAAATGCATTCACTTTGATTAGTTGAGCTTGTCTTCTCTTGGCATTCTTCATACTGGCAGGCAGTGACATTCACTTTCTTCCACTCAGGGTATTCAGTTTTCTCTTAAGGACTGTAACTTCTTCTCCCTTTTTTCTTTTCTCTCCGAGTCTTGGGTCAGATGTGCTGGGTGATGACATGAGACCGGTCTTTCAGTGATGAAAGGGATGGGAACAGATAGAAAAAGAGGGAAAGGAGTCTGTGGCGAGGGAGTAAAAGAGCTTGTCTTGTTTCGGTTTTCATAATGTCACACCAATTGGAACCTAAAGGCTGGAATTTGTGGTCACATTCCAAGTTCAAATTCTGGTTCTGCACTCCCTACCAGCAGAGTGACATTGGCAAGTTCTTCACCCATTTGAGCCTCAGTTTCCCCATTTGTAAAATGGAGATAACAAAAAAATCTACCTCATAGGGTTATTACCTATGATCATGTGTGCAAAATATATAGCACAGTTTCTAGCAGGTACTCAATAAATGTAAGTGGTCATACCCATCATTCAATTCTTGTACCTGTCAATCAGTGGTAGTGATTACTATTAATATTTGAAAACACCTGCCTATAATTTTACATTTTACATTTATTACACCACTTAATTTTTTATTTCCTGAAAAAGAGCGTTTTCCCAACATGTGGTATTTTTAGAAATGTCAATCTTCTCTGTCCTCTTCCCCCTATATGCATGATTTTCTTTAATATTGACTGATTTTTATATTAAATTTTCATCATGTCTATCATTTCCAATCCAGGATCCTCATAGAAGATCTCCAGAACACTCTAGAAAAGGGAAGCAGTTTGGAAGCCCAGAGAAATCGAAGATCCCTCTCTGAATATAATTATGAAGTTTATCACTCCTTAGAAGAAGTATGTAATCAAACGAGCTTTTATTGCTTTATTATTATTTTTTTAACCAATGCACCTTTATCGTTAAGGATTGTAAGAGAAACACTACGACAGAGGCGTGGGTTATATGCGGAATACATACAGTTCTCATATTGTCTAGGCACCTCAATTCAGTCCTCTCTTCATTAAGCCTTTAACTGCTATATAAGACATAACAAAACAATTTGAATTTCATCTGCTTTACCTGACCCACCCCTAGAAAGGACAAGGGAAGGACATTGGAAGAGTAAGGTAATGTTGTTATAATTGTAGCTCTAAAGACATTAACTAAAAAGCCCGATGCACTTCTTGATGGATGGTAGAGCTAGCCAAAGTTTGAGGACAATGATTTGGTTAAGGGGTAGTGTGAACTTTGATTCTCGCCCCACGCCCCCTGCAAACTTGAGACTTCCCAAAGGCCAAGCCTCATCTGTGGCACCGCAGGGCTTATTAGCATGCTGTTATTTCTTCTACCCGGAACACACAGCAACCTTATTCCCACTACCCTATACTGTTCACCTGGACAACTGGTTATTCTTCAAATTTCAGCTTAAGCAAGAAGATTGCTGTTTCTACTCTCCCAGACTGGATCAGAACTCCACTGCCCCCTCTCCAACCCTAGCATACTGCATGCATCCATAGCACGATTATTTGATTAACGCCTTGCTCTTGTAATAAGCTGAAAGTTCTATTAGGGCAGGCCATTTCTTTCTTGTTCTTTAGTTTATCCCAAGTGGCAAGCAAATAGTGACCTCCACATAGAGAGTTGATGACGGAATGATTAAATAAATGTGTACATATATTTTCCATGCTTCCCTTGAATTGCGCTGAGGACTGCCAGACGTAGAATTAATAATATAAGAATATAACAGGATCTTATTAAGAGAATTTTTGGTTCTCTTGATAGTGACTTTGTTTTCAAAATTATTTCTACATATGTTATAACAAAAGAAAGGTTTTAGATAACTGAGCACATGGAAGTGCTATTAACATGCACTAGAAAAAAGGCAAATTTTAAAGTATATAGATATATACATACATATATATGTGCTCATTAGTCTAAATAAGAATAGAAAGAAAAGAAAATATGAGTCCTTTCCAAAATCTCTTTTTCCAGCACAGACTCTTTCTTTTACATCATGGGAACAGTGGGACACTTTTGTGTGACTTCCTTCCTCCTCACAGGGCTTTTAAGGCAGAAATGTCACCCATCTTTCTAAGTGCTTTATTCATCCATCTCAAATACTCGTATACCTACTCCTGATGACAGGTAAGTATGTGTGAACAGATCAATGCAAATGTATCACTGGGGAAATGTATTACTGGGGAAATGACTCAGATTGTGCCTTTTGATGTGTGGCTCGATACAATACCTTTCAATGCAAAAAATAATGCCTTTTTCGTAGCATCTTCTGTTCAGCAGCAAATTATAATATATTGGACTTTAATGAACACTTTCAAGTAGTTTGGACGGTTTTACCAATGCTGCTTTTTTTCATTCCCTCTTAAATACTTGGGGGGAAATGGAAATAAATTTTGCTTTTTAAAAGGAGCCCAGAACACATCAATTAATTTTCTTTAAAACTCTGCCATCAAAGTATTAGTGAAACATGGTAGCAGAAGGTATGCTTTAAAGAGGTCACTATATAAAGACATGAAGCTAGTATTTGTAAAGGCAGAAAAGAAAATTTGATTTGCTTTAGGATATTTAAAATTACAATAGAGAATTGGTTTTTGTTCAATTTTATATTCCATGTATGCTCTGTGAGTTCTGAAACCTATTGTCTTTTTGTTACGTTTTGTTCTCTAAAAGCTCTATAATTATGGGAGTCTGACATGGTTTTTATTTACTTGCTTTTAGATTCAAAATTGGATGCATCATCTGAATAATACTCATTCAGGACTCATTCATATGTTTTCTATTGGAAATTCATATGAGGGAAGATCTCTATTTGTTTTAAAGGTAAAAATAGAAAATTAACTAAAATGTTTACCAAACATTCATTTTTTTCTAACTTTGACCTATGGGGAAAAGAAATGAAATGGTCAGTCAGTGTCATATTTAACATCATGCAATCATTTAAGAAAACAATTTCTCTTCGGTTTTTAAACCATATTAAATTTTTGCCACCGAGTATTACAGAGCATGCTAACACATTCAGAGTTCTTAATGCACTTCAAAAATAATAGCCTTCAAAATGATTTGTTAGTTGGTGCTACTTAAGATGAACCAATGAAAACTACGTAAATGTCTAAGAAAGAATGCGTCATTCCAAGCCCTTGACCTGTGTTCTTTTCTATCCACTGACCTATAGCTCTTGGTTCCTTCTCAGCCAAACATCTAAAAAGATTTTAATAAAGCATCACTGTCTCTACTTCCTCACCTCCCATTCAGACCTTGACTCCCTGGCCTATGCACCCCCACAACTCCTCTAAACCTTCTCTTGCCAAGACCAACGATGACTCCTAGTCAGGTCGCTTCCCATCTCTCTGACCGTTCCCCTTGGTCTTATTCTCTGGCTCGTCTCTCCTTCTCTTTCCCTTAGGTTCTTGGTCATTCCAGGATTCTAGCCTCAGATGTGTTTTCATTCTGTGAACTATCTGTACATGGGCACAGCCACCCCATGGTTTCAACAATCATTCCAGACTATTCTATTCAGTGGAGTCCACTCTCTGGAACTTTAAGTTCATGTATTACAGCCTACTGTACATCTCATCTCTGTATTCCCAAAAGCACCTGGGCTCAGAATGGCACCACTATGCTCCCCATCAAAAAACATGAGCATCATCCTAAATTCCTCTCCTTTATTTTAACCGCTTACTTTAAATCCACCACCAAGAACTAACCACTCTTTCTTCTAAATACCTTTTGGATGTGCCCCCAACCTCTTCTCTTGCCCTCACTGCTGTTACCCTAACTTATCTCTGGATCCGTTATCCTCTGGACTATTGGAATAATGACCCCAGGATTGAATTTCTTTTGAGTCCCCTACCTCTACCCTCTCATCCATCACCATGTGCTGTCCTTGGGAGCTCTCACTCTCTCTCTCTCTCTCTCTCTCTCTCTCTCTCTCTCTCTCTCTCTCTCTCTCTCCCACTCCACATACATCCCTCCCATGGAATTCAGGATGATGCCTTCTCTCTTTTACATAGTCTTCAGGAATTTCATGTGTTCTGTGCTTCTGCATCCAGCTTCATCTGCTATTCTTTCCTCATACCCTAGAAAGTTCCTCACATATGAAGTGCTCAGATTCTCTTCCAAGCTTTAGATGCCTTCTTCCAACTGGTCTGCCAGGCAAGCTTCAAGTCTTGCTCCAGTGCTCTAATACTCAAGAAGAAGGTTCCTCTTCTGAGAATTCTTCTTTTATGTCTCAGGAAACTCAGGCATGTTCCCCTGTTCCCAAAGTAACTTATGCATATCATAAGGATTAATTGCTCACATGTCTGCCCTCCCCACTAGCATTTAAACCCTGTCTTTCATCTTTGACTCTCCAGTGCCAAGTACAATGTCTGATATTGAAAAGGATCTCCTACAGTATTAGCTGAGTGAATTAATGAATAAATGAAAACTAGATCCCCTCTAAATATAATATCAAGAGTCACCTATCAATTACTGGGTTAGAAACCAGATTATAAGTAAAATTGATAATAGGATTATAAAGAAAAACCTGTCACTTGATTCTGGAAATAAAGTTGTTTTGTGTTTTTCCATTTTTGTGTTGAAATAAAATTTGACTTTGTCCATCTATAAAACATTGCTATTTCTTTAAGAAAGAGTCCTTTTCTGGAGGGGAGGGGGGAAGTTTGACTTTTTATTTAACAGTCACATAATGTACTAAAATGGAGAAGCAAACCTGTTTAAGGTATTGCCCTTTTCCTCTTGTATTTTCTAGTTCTTTCATTTGTAATTAGGGCAATAAATTTAGTGTTCCTTGATAAACACAGCTGGACTTCAGAAGTAGATAAGGAATCTCTATCTTTTTCATGGGTTCCCTAATGAAACAAACGATAGTGAAGAATTATGCTGAAACCTTATTAATTATGCTGGTCAACGAATCAAAACATAAAAACCTGTGTTGGTTACTATGAATACTCTTGTTTTCAGCTGGGCAGAAGATCACGTGCTTACAAAAGAGCTGTCTGGATAGACTGTGGTATTCATGCAAGAGAATGGATTGGTCCTGCCTTTTGTCAGTGGTTTGTAAAAGAAGTAAGTTAAACCCTTTACACAATGTCCATTTCAGCTAGTCAGTGCTTCCCACGTGTTTATTCTGCTCAAGGAACAAAACTGGGAATATGACGCCAGTGATACCTGATTGGATGATAACACCTTATTATTGTGTGGGTCACTTCCATGTGTGTGAAGATTTCTTATAACCCTGGCTCAGTTTATCTTCACCTCTGTCCTTGGAGGTTGGACTTATCAACCCTTGTTCAAGAGAAGGAACCTGAGGTTCATTAAGAGCGTTCATGAATTTGTGACAAACGAAGACACAACCATAGTAGCTTGTATTTGGCAAAAGGCTAAAAACCCAATTTAAGGTGTTCCAGAGAAGTTTCTCATATGATATTCAGCTAGGAAAATTCTACAGCACTATCTTCTCCATCAAAGTGATCGTGCATATACTAGAGCAATAAAGAGATAAGCAAGTAGTTGTATTTTGTCCTCCTGCTACAGCTCTGTAATTTAGATACCAAAGACCTTTAACATCTGTGGCTAGAACATTCTTGGTTTCAGTATTTCTCATTGCCTCTAATTGTTAATAACTCATAGTGATCTCTCATTTTCTGAAGGCTTCTGTAGGTTAGTGGGTGCCTAATCCAAGAATGGGCCAACCTCATGAACCATCATCTTAATATGTTTGGATATTTTTCTATGCATTGTCAAGAATGTAATGACTTTCATGGTTTTGGATTTTGATTTTAAAGTTGACTTTTTTTTTTTTAATTAAAAGAGAAAGCCTCTTTAAAAAAAAAAAACCTCTAGTACTGGTAATGAAGAAGCCTAAGGAAATGAAGGGTCTAAGCTGGAAAATAACCCTACAAATATTTTCAGCCCTGTACTTATAGAGAACCATTAAGGGTACAAAAAAATATTTAAATAGTTCAATTATATTTTACTGTGTTTTATGGGGAAATTATGTGCAGTGTTGAGGTTTGTGATTTTTGAGGCCTCTCCTAGTCTTAGAAAATATTCCTCACAAATGTCAAAATGTACTAAATTTGTAAAATCTGCCTCTCTGCCACTACCAATCCCATAAAAATATCCTTAATTTTATGTAATAAAAATTTCAAATTCTGCCCACTCTAGTATATTGAGTAATTCATATTCCCTTTAAATACCATTTCATCCTGGTAGGACAAATGCAAAAGCTAATAACTTGTTAACTCTATTATCTTGTATTCAATATCCATTGTATACCTACAACATTGCTGTCTCGAGTTTCAAAAGTGGGGGAGATGGTTAAGTACAGAACACCTATTTAAAGACTGTGATCCTGTGTATTATTAAAGAACATAAGAAATTATCTCCCCAACATTTTACCTCACACCCACATGTGCCACCTCTTCTTTATAACATCTAAACTTACTTTATTTGTTCATGGTGTTATCATCTGTCTCTTTTTGTACCAAAGACAAGGGTACAGACTCTATATTTATCTGGTTCATCTCCAAATCCCCAGCACCTAGAACATCTGGCACTTAATAAATCTTAAATATTTGTTAATGAGTGAGAATAATGAGAATCCAGTGGTAATGAGGTGGAAAGATTACTGAGAGATGACTTGTCAAATCATCTCATACAATATGAATGGTACCACCTGGATTTTTGCAGTGCACAATCTGTACAGCTATACATGGCAGCCCTATAACTCAAGCTAGATTTCCAAGGAAGAGGAGGACACAGTGCAACCACAGAAAAAGGAGGAGGCATGTCTGATGACTACCAATTGAGGTTAGCTGCTTTGGGAGCAAGAAGCATCAATTCAGATTAGGCTCCATTTCACCAAAGATGAGTAAGGAATGACTTCCACTCCTACTCCAGGCTGTCTTCAGGCATGCAGATATGTGTAGCCAGGTCTGTGCTGCTGCTACCCTTTCACACCACTCTCATCATTTATGGATGTCACTTGCTGCTCTACTTTATCAGTTACATTTCTGTCTGAGTCAGGATAGTAACCAAAACTGGAAAAACAGGAGGCCTAGGGGTCACTCATCCTAGCGGCCTTGTGGAAGCAATGGGGCTGCCGAGGTGTGACAGCACGGGAGAGCAATGACTGGAGTGGATCAACACACATTACAGGCTTGTAAGAAATAATCCCATTTGTTTTAAAGCTCCCTTTTCCACTAATGGTGCTTTTGGGGACAGCGGGAATGGGGACGTTAAAGATTTAAATAACTTCAAACCTGCCGAACATTGGAACATCGTCTCTTAGGCACGAATTCAGTCCCTTATTAAATTCTCAGTCTCCCAAAGAAGGCAGGTGGTGGCTGGTCCAAGAGGGACTCCAAGCAGCGTCCCTTCCACAGGTTACCCCCCTCCACCACAGAAGCCCCATGACCAGCTCCAGGCTCTCAACTCATCTCATTTCCATGCCCCTTCTGGGGACACCAGGGAACCTCTGGGCTCTCTCTCTGCCTACCAGGAGACTCCAGGAAGCTATGTCTAGCCCTCTCGTGGATGACGCATGCCACACTTCTGATTGTCCCCTCCTATAGTTGCCCGTTACTGCGTACTAGGGTGAGGTGAGGTGATGTCCTCTCAGACACATGGTAAACAGGACAGAGTGCCTCTTTTCTTACATTTTTTACCCCAGTCTGTCAGTGGTCTTGACCATCTCTTGATTTCTCTGGAGTTTCAACCCCAAGAGAAGAGGGTAGTGTCAGAAGCCAGAATATTGGCTTCCTACCTTTGCTTTCTCTCTTTCTTGGGTACTTTAACCCAAACTCAACAGCTTAAAACAACAGACAGTTTCTGTGGGTCAGCTATCTAGGCACAGGTTACCCAGATGCCTCTGGCTCAGGTTCCCTCACAAGGCTACAGTCAAGGTGTCACCTGGAGGTTCAGTCATCTCGAGGTTTGTGTACGGGAGGATCTGCTTCTGTGTTCACTCACATGGCTGCCAGCAGCCTCAGGTCCTCCCTGGCTGTGAGCCCGAGACATCAGTTCCGTGTCATGCGGGCCTGTCTATAAGGCAGCTCACAACATAACACCTGGCTTCCCTCAGCCGATGAGGGAGGGGGAAAGAGAGCAGACGCAAGATGGAAACCACAATCTCTTTGTAACTTAATCTCAGAAGTGCTATCCCATCACTTTTGTCATATTCTGCTCATTAGAAGTGAGTCAGTAGGCCCAGACCATATTCAAGGGGAGGGCATTATACAAGAGGGTACCAGGAAGTGGGAATCATTGGGGCTACCTTAGAGTCTGCCTTCCATACTTTGGTGGGACTTTCTCCACAGCCCCCACTATTATGTTTGCATCTTTACTCAAATGTGAACTGGAAGAAAATTTATCAGACCCTCTGGGATCCTGATAGAACAGCAAATTGCATAGAGGTATGTGCACATATGTAAGAGTCAGACAACCCCGGGTTGGAACGCCAGGTCTGCCATCTACCAACTCTGTGATCTTGGTGGGCAAGACATTTAACCTCTCTGAACCCCAGTAATAATAATATGTGACACATATGTGACACAAAATATTAGCAAATAGAATTTAGCTATCTATAAAAATATTTATATACCATGACCAAGTGAGATTTATTTCAGGGATGCAAACCTGGTTCAATATTTGAAAGTTAGTCAATGTAATCTACCATATTAATAGGCTAAGGAAGAAAAAAATAATCTTATCAATTGATACAGGAAAAACATTGGACAAAATTCAATACACATTCTTGATAAAAAGTCAGAAAAATAGGAATAGACGGGAACTTCCTCAACTTTATAAAGAACATCTGCAAAAAGCCTACAGCAAACGTGATATGATAAATGACTAAATATTTCCTGTTAAATCAGGAACAAGGTAAGGATATCCACTCTCACCACTCTTAATTAACATAGTGCTAATAGTTCTGGTCAGTACAAGGCAAGAAAAGGAAATAAAAGGCATACAGATTGGAAAGGAATGAATAAAATTATCCCATTTGTAGATGACATAATTGTCTACATCAAAAATCCCAAGGAATCTACAGAAAAACTCATAGAACTAACAAGTGAGTTTGGCGAGATCACAAGATACAAGATAAATGATAAACATACAAAAATCAATTCTATTTCTATAAACTAGCAATAAACATGTGGATGCTGAAATTAAAAATATATCATTCGTAAGTACTCAAAAAATGAAATAGGAGTAAATTAACAAAAGGTGTACAGGATTTATATGCTGAAAACTATGAAACACTGGTGAAAGAAATCAAGCAAAATCTAAATAAATGGAGAGACACACCGTATCCATGGATTGGAGAGCTCAATATAATAAAGATGTCAATTGCCCCCAAATTGATATACAGGTATAGCATAATTCCTATAAAAATTCCAGCAACACTTTTTGTAGATATAAGTAAGATTATTCTAAAATTTATGTGAAAAGGCAAAAGAGCTAGAAGAGCTAAATCTCTTTGAAAAAGTATCATTCTACCCAATTTCAAAACATAGTAATCAAAAGAGTGTGGTGCTCATGAAGGGATAGACAGAGATAAATGGAACAGAAAAGAGGAATCAGAAATAGACCTACGTCAATATGTCCAACTGATTTTCCACAAAGTTGCAAAAGCAATTCAATGGAGGGAAAACAGCCTTTTCAACAAATGGTGCTGGAAGAAGTGGACTTCCACAGGCAAAAAAAAATGAATCTCGACCTAAGTGTTATACCTTATACAAAAATCAGCTCAAAATGGATCACAGACTTAAATGTAAAATTATAAAACTTTCAGAAAAAAAATAGGAAAAAATCTTCAGGATCTAAAGCCAGGCAGGGTCCTTAGACTGGACACCAAAAGTGTGTCCCATAAAAGGAAAAGTTGATAAATTGGACATTACCAATCAAAATTAAAAACTTTTGTGTGTGAAAGACCCGGTGAAGAGGATTAAAAAGACAAGCTACAAACTGGGAAAATATATGCAAAGCACGTATCTGATAAAGGACTCATATTTGGCGTATGTAAACTCAAAGCTTGACAATAAAAAAGCAAGCTATCCAAT